GCCCATGTGCATCCCACAGTCCAGCATGACGTTCTTGCCGGCGATGGAGACCAGAATGCAGCTTCGGCCCACATCCTGGCCAGCGCCTGCTCCAGCGGGAGGGCAGGTAAGAGGCACCGCTGAGCTCTCCCAGCACCCGTCCTCACTCCTGCCCCTCGCCCACTGCCGCCATGCTTCCCGGCTGGGCAGGGCCCGCCTGAGCTGAGGAACGAATGCCGAGGGAGGGGAAGCACAGGGCCTCGGTCTGCCACAGGGAGCGCACACCGGAGGGGAGCCCAGTGCCCCGCCCCGCCCACGCGCTCTCCCCTCCGGGCCTCTCACACCTAAGGCCCAGCCACTGCTCTGTGCGGTGCCGTAATGCTCCCTACCAGCTCAGTCAGAGTCTTCCTGGACCCTCTGCTGGGTCAGTCAGCGGCCAGTCAGGCCTCGCCTGGAACTGGACCCCAGTGGGTAACATGCCTCCTAGCACACAGCACAAGGACCTGAGTATGACCAGTAACTGGCCACGGCACAGAGGCTTCGCGCTGGGCAGTGGGCAGCCCAGCTCCACGCCGCTCTGCCCACGTGTGAATCCTCAGCTGCCCCAACTGGGTTCCCTCCCACTCTTTGTTTTTTTTTTTTTTGGTGCCTGTATTGGGCCTTGAACTCAGGGCCTGGGCACTGTCCATTCATTTTTTCATTCAAGGCTTGGCCTCTACCACTTGAGTCACAGTTCCATTCCCAGCTCTTTGGAAGTTTCGGACTTTCCTGCCCAGGCTAGCTTTGAACCTGAGTCAGCAGAACTATAAGCATGAGCACGGGCACTCGGCCACTCTCGCTCCTCTGAAATCCACACAGGCCAGACAGCTGCTCCAGCCAGGGCAGGCACACCGTGACGTGAGGCCATCCACAGAGACCTGAGAACAGCAAATGACCTGGTTTCCATGCTGAATCCGACATGCCTCCCTCTGCCAGCCACGTGCCCCTAAGCACAATCACAGTGGCCACGTAGCCTCAGGCAGGCGGGCACCCGGCTGGGGGGTGGGGGGACTTCCAAAGGCTCTTCAGCAGGCCTGTCTCCCCTGCCCTGCCGTGCAGCCCTGGGGCAGGTAGGTCTTTGTCTCCTCCTCACTGCAGCTGCACGAGGCCGTGTGGAACCCAAGACCCTCCAGGCCTTCACGGAGGGAAGGACTTCCCTTTCACAAGTTAGGGCCCACAGAAACACAGCCACCAAACAGTGGTCTGGAGTTTGGGGAAGTTTTTTGTTGATTTTCATTTGGAAGAAGGGATACTGGGACTGGGACTTTAACTCCGGGACTGTTTTCCCTCATCATTTCCGAGCTCAAGGCTGGTACTCTACCACTTGAGCCAAATCTCCACTTCCAGAAAAAGCTGATTCCTTGAAAGTAAAAGTCTCAAGGGCTGCTGGATACCAGTGGCCCACACCTGTAATCCTAGTTACTCAGGAGGCTGAGATATGAGGACCGCCATTCACAGCCAACAGCCAGCATGGGCAGAGAGAGTCAATGAAACTCTTATCTCCAATTAACCACCAAAAAACTGGAAGTAGAGCTGTGGCTCAAGTGGTAGAGTGCTAGCCTTGAACTTTTACAAAAGCTCAGGAGGCTGGGAATATGGCTTTTGGTAGAGTGCTTGCCTAGCATGCATGAAGCCCTGGGTTTGAGTCCTCAGTACTACATAAACCGGAAAAATGGGAAGTGACGCTGTGGCTCAAGTGGTAGAGGGCTAGCCTTGAGCAAGAAGCTCAGGGACAGAGAAAGAAAGAAAGAAAGAAAAAGAAAGAAAGAGAGAGAGAGAGAGGTGGAGGGAGGGAGGGAGGGAGGGAGAGCAGGCAAGCAAGCTTGCTCATGGACAGTACCCATACCCTGAGTTCAAGCCCCAGGATTAGCATTAAAAAAAAAAAAGTCTCAAGGGCTTATTGAGATCCTCAGATCTCAGCCTCCTACACCTATAGGAATACAGGTGTAAGCCACTAGCACCCCAACTTTGTGGAGGATGTGTGTGTGTGTGTGTGTGTGTGTGTGTCTGTTGCTGTTGTTTTTATCAGTTGTGGGGCTTGAACTCAGGGCCTGGGCACTGTCCCTGAGCTCTTTTGCTTATGGCTAGCACTCTACCACTTTGAGCCACAGTACCACTTCCAGTTTTATGGTGGCCAATTGGAGAAAAGAGTCTCCCAGACTTTCCTGCCCAGGTGGGGTTTGAACTTCAATTCTCAGATCTCAGCCTCCTGAGTAGCTAGGATTATAGGCATGAGCCATCAGCACCCAGCTCTTTGTGGAGTTTTTGTTTTTGTTTTGTTGTGCCAGTAGTGAGGCCTGAACTCAAAGCCTGTGTTCTTGGCTTTTTTACTCTTTTGCTCACAGCTAACTCTACCACTTGAGTACCAAGTTCAAACCTTTTCTTGGTTAATTGGAAATAAGAGCCTCCTGGATTTTTTTACCCAAGCTGGCTGCAACAACATTTGTTCAATCACAGCCTCCTCAGTAAGTGTGAGCCACTGACATCCAGGCCACAGATGTTTTTCTGGATTCTAAAGCCCAGTTCTTAGGGAAGAGGGCCAACAAAGAAATTGAGTAACGGTGAATTTATTCAAAGTACTTTTTATTCACAAATGAAAACAGCACAATGAATGCTGGTGAAACTGTTAAAAAAAAAAAAGTAACAAGGAAGACTAGGAAGGTGGCTCAGTGGTAGAGCGCTTGCCTAGCATGCATGAAGCCCTGGGTTCCATTCCTCAGCACCATGTACACAGAAAAAGCTGGAAGTGGTGCTGTGACAAAGTTTGGATGAGTGCTATCCTTGAGCAAAAGAAGCTCAGGGACAGTGCCCAGGCCCTGAGTTCAAACTGGTAGGGCACCTGCCTTGAGCATAAGAGCCCTGGGACAGTGCCAAGGCGCTGAGTTCAAGCCCCATGACTGACAAGTAACAAGGAGGAAGCTGAGAGCTTGAAGGAGAAACAACGCTGTATATATATGCGTGCACGCACGTATGTACGTATGCATGCGTGAACAATGATGGAACAATGGCAGCCATTCCTCCCAAAGATCAGGGGACAAAACGTCAACAGAGAGCAGAAGACAGGACTCAGTGAACCCTGTCCACACAGCGCTCGCATCTGTGGTAAGTAAAGCGATTACCCACACAGCCCTGTATGTCACTGATGCAGAAAAGGGAACAAGGGTGCCCAGAAAGTTCAAGCACCATATAGGAGAGACAAAGGCACACGTGCAGCGCCACCCAGGCCGCTGGGTCCCTGGGCCTTAAGTGTTTCCTGCTCCAGACTGTTTAAGGCTGTTAGGACCTTGAGAGCCTGCGCTCTTGTGTCTTACAAAGGGAAAGCTAGTGTTTTCGTGTTGCACACACCAGGTGGGACAAGGTTGGGCTCGGGGCTAGCCAAGGCCACCTAAGCGTGAGCAGCACAGGAGGAAAAGCGGAGCAATCCCGAGGCAGGAGCCGGCCGGGCCCCCAGGGGGTTCTGGGGAGGCCGGTCACGGAGGCGGCCGCGGCCTCGGCCTAGGCCACGGCGGCTTCGCCGCAGCTGCGCTCGGCCGCCTCATCTCCCTCCCAGGGTCAGACCTTCCTACCCCGGCAAGTCCACCGCCTCTGGGAGTCTGCCCCGCTCCAGTCCGCTCCTCCCCGCTCCGGTCCGCTCCTCCCCGCTCCTCCCC